GCTGCGACGGTGCTCGTGTGCGATTGCTCGTGCGTGTTGGCACACTGTTGGGGCACTCTGTTGACACACGCTGTTGCTTTCTTGTCGGGTGCACATGTTGCCGTGTTGGCGTGCTTATCGTTGTCGTTGTTCTTGTTTGGAACTTATTGTGCCACCATGATTTTCCATCCGCCGTAATTATCGATGATGGAAAAGTAGGTAGCATCATTTTTTCTGACAACTTTCTTAAGTTGTTGGCGATTATTACCAGATGCATCCGCTCTTTGTATCGAGCGTGTTTGTATCCAGTTGTTCTCCCATCAAAACTGGTGGTGGAATAATTGTGCGAAACATACCCGCTTGTGGCGACAAATATACAAGGTGGCTTAACACCTCTTGTGCTTATTAAACATCAGTGCAATGAAGTGTTTTGTTATTTCTAACCATAAAATATATGAGATGGTTGGGAAATAACATTCACTCTCAATACTACAAATAGTATTAGGCATGGTATTATGATAATAAATACGACTACTAGAAAAAAGGACACAAGAAGACTAGTTTTAAATGTTCAATTGGTATTTTTTTTAGGAAGTCTTCAGGATCATTTATAGATCCCCCAAAACACCATTACATAAAAATGTAATATCACATGTAATATTTAAAAAAAAACGCGTTTTTAGACAACCTAAAAAAAATCTGCGTTTTTATATAAGTGCCCCAAAATGTCATACCAATTCTATAGGGTTGCTACGCAACCAATAAAAAACAAACCATCCGATTGGCCCGTTCTAGTCAAACGGAGCTGCTCGAGACTGGGAAAAATTGAGCCAAGCCACTGTTGGGTCGTTCCATCTATTAGCCGCTTTGGCTTTACGCAAGCATAGCTTGGCTGGGCAAGACTTTTTATTGGAGGTTCAGTTTGGGGCCATCAGTCCCGCTCATAGGCAGGGGACACATTTGGCATCGGCTCATGGGCCCATCTAGGGTGCTTGCCGTGCCACGAGGGGGGCAGGGGAATGCATCTAGCATGCTGGCGAAAGGCGACAGCGGAGTTTGAGTTCCGAAATGGGCCTCGAAACTCAGGGGAGCGAGCGGAACTGGGTACCAATCTTCAGTTGTGAGCATGTGACACTTGAAAAGGCCAGGTCCCTGATTCAAAGTCGATGTAGATGTATTTCGTAATTGCACTTTGCTCCATCCAAGAAAAAAAAAAAAAAAAAATTACATCTTGTTACTTCGATGATCATATGGCTAAGTTGCCATGCTGGCATGGTCGCACCTCCTTTAGACTCTGGAATGGAATATCCCCCATCTCTCGCTGCAGCATCGTTGCTCGCCCTACCACAATTGCGATCTTCTTTGACCAATCGGGGAACTGGCGGAAAATAGTCTCTCAACAAACTTATGTCTTCCCCCATGTTTTCCATTTCGCCTTGGAAGCTTGGAGTTGCAAACGTGTGCTAGGAGAAAGGGAAGGGGGAAGATAGAAATTGGGGGCAGTCGATACAAAATCCACTTTGGAATAACACTAGGAGTTATTCGGAAATTTGGTGTGCTATTGTCATAATTTTCGGTGCACCCATGTAACCACCATAAACATTTTGCACCCACAACCCATGAACACAGCCCGTCAGCAAGCAATTCCTATGTGGATCGTACGAACTACGGCTTGCACAAATGTTAAATCCGTTGGTCCAAATTGTTCAACCTTATGGATCTTGCACTTGCAAAACAGAGGGGAAAAGGGGGTCACTGATAACGAATGGGCTTGAGTCACGCGTAACAGTGACGAGGGGTTGGCTTTCGACTCCTCAGCGTTAGAGCGTGTTTAGAAATACATAATCACGAAAATTTCATTTGCCCAGTTTTGCGTCAGATTTCGTATCGCACATCGCAAAAACTCACTGAATAATTTCAAAACAAATCACACTGTACTATAACGCGCGAGTCTGTTTTCAGGTTGGCCTAGGAAGAGGTCGTACAAACGCGCTCTCAGGGCGCAACCAATCGCATGCTGGGTGAAATCCACTGCACTAATTTCACATGCTAATTTTGTGCTCAAAAGTCGGAACGTCAGCTGCACGATCAACCCCCGTAACAGAAGTCCCAAAATGCAACCGCGACTTTCAACTTTCTTCTAATGCACTACTTATGAGGGGCACAACTAGGTTTGTGAGGCGTTTTTAGGATTAATAAAGTTGAAACAAAAATTATGTAATTTGGGCCAATGGCTTTAATAACACGTGCCCAACACCCTCCGTACTTTGTACCGTTGCAGCACTTATGGTAAGGTAGGACCATTGCCGGTTGGTGTACTCGTCCACCTCGCAATAACTTCGTGGCCAGTAATTGGTCAAGCGAAATCACCTGATCATGCATGGTGTCGTATCCAGCTGCTCGTGTGGCTGTTTAATCTGCTGCCACCATTCCACTGCCGATGGTCGTAATAAAAATATGGCCTATTGAATCTTATGAGTATCTTTGATTACAAGCATGCAATTGTGAAAATCATTCAGGCGAAAAATCCATTCAATGACAAACAGGCTTGGGTCGAACGTAGGCGGCCTCTGCGTCTTGAGTATTCCGGACGCCAAAATGTTGTTGGAAGTATTTGGGCCAGAATGTGATGTATTTAGGGCGATTTCATTGACATTCACTTCTTCGCCGACTTCCGTTCGTCAAATCATGGGGTTCGTATTGTTCGCTGAGCCCACAAGTGAGGTTGCATGTGGCCGCTGATTGTTGCCGAGCATGCTGATTTGTTGTTGGCTTCTGTTGTTGTTGATTTGTCGCTGATGTCATCATGGGGCATCACAAGTGGTTCAAGTCCCCTCCAAGTGCAGATATTCATAATCGGCATGGCCCATTCAGCCCTAGGACGCGCCAGCTCTTGTTGAAAAAAATAGTTGGTGAGGCGCTCCTTGTCCAATGCTACTGCCCTTGCTTTAGCTGTACCAAGAGTTGGAAGATCGGCCTCCACCATCGTTGTTTATTTGGGCAGCATCAGCGCGCTGGTACTGCGAACTTAGTCATAACTGTGCGTTTTTATGAATTAAATACTAGGACAACAGATATGATGTAAGCACAGGACGTCCATCCCCTAAACAACGGCATCGCAATGGAAAGAACGCTAGGCATAATAAGGTGCAAACGGCGAGTTTTCAATATTGGTAGTATCGAGGAAAGCAATACAATGAGGCAACATCACAACAACCGAGAGCTTGAATATAGCTAGGCTTGGAGCACACAGTCGAGGCTCAGCAGAGCTGAGATGTGTGGCTGTAAATTGGCGTGAAGCGCACATGTCTAGTCATGAAACTATAAGCAAAAGGCATGCGGCTCGTCAGAGGGCCACGTTTGGGTGCTGCAATTAGAATTTCGTAGTAGAGTGCGCTATAACCCCATTAATGTGTACGCCTGAACTGAAACCCGGGGAAAAAAAAATTATTTTGTTACATCCACCCAATCATGACTCAACGCCGTCAAGGGCATCCCGCAATTCAATGCATTCTTATTCCAATTGCCATCTCATGGTTCTGGAAGGTTTGCCCAGTGAGCACGGGGAATTGCTCAGGAGCTCGTGGATGATTGGTTGTATACTGCTCGGAAATGTCAGCGCGAATCGACTCGAATATTTTTGGTGGCCTACGATCTATGACGATACAAGCTTCCAGTAATGCTTACACCATAAATTATTGTACTATGCTTATATGGGTCACAATGACGTAAATAACTTATGGCGTTTGCTCCATATCCTTTACCCGTAGCTTGACATCCATCAATGTGATAGGAACAACCCATTTGACTGCTTTCAAATTCTAGGGGCGCTACAAATGTCCATCACAAACCATAAATGCCTGGATATATGATCCTAGGGTCTTTTTGTATATTGGTGAAAAAAGGGAGTGATTCTTATAAGGAAACCTAAACATAAGTTACCCGTGACCAATCTCGTATTTTAAGGGGTTCAGTTTCGGAAAGTGCGTTCCTGCTTCAAATTTGAAATATGTTCTTCGTGTCGATTATATTGATAGATTCACGGCTCTGCCACCGTGATTTCCAGTTCGAGTATTGTGGATGGGTTCAGAGCAACCCAGTTCTCAATTCCAAGTACCAAGGAATGAGAAGAGGTGGTCCGGCTGCATTCACAGTTCAGGGTTGAAAATTCCCGAGGCATCGAACCTAGTCACATGTTCGATGCTACGAGGATGCCTTGATGGGCTATCTTTACAGTTAGCTACCCGCCCAGCGCTATGCCTCCTGTAATTGGGAGTGGCCTCGCGACCATTATCAAAGGCAGAAATGCTCGCTCTTAGGTGCTTTATCACTGGGTTTCTATTTCACCCACCCCGCCCTCTCCTCCCGCTCCATCGGCTTCACCAGCGCCGCCTGAACTTCCCAACCTTCCTCTGGCCCTGCGTTACGGTGAGGACTGGCCCAAGCCCTGCGCGAACTTCGACAGTGTCTTCGAAGAAAAAGATTCCGAGGGTGCGATAGGCGGGGATGCTGCCGCAAACGCAGTCGACGATGACTACAACTTTGACGACTGGACTTCCGAAATTTCCAGCTTACAAAATTCGGATCTCCTCTTCAAGTCACGAATTTCGGCCAACAAAACTTCTCGACAGTCACAATCATCAAGTACAAACACCTTCTTGGTAACATCAAGTGGTGTAATTGTCATAGTACTCCTGTGAGAGTACGACCCCGTTCCATTCCTCTCTCCTTTCCATCTTCTCTTTCCATTTCATTCCTCTTTTTATCCTGATTCATTTGGTCTTTATCTCATTCCATTTAGATTCCTATTTTTTCTTTTCCATAAACCTTTGGTTTCTCCTGTTATTATCATTATATTACCGACCAGGCTCGGGATGTACTGGTACACTATCTCTACCGTAATGTACACTATCTCTCGCGTAATGCCGAAATTACTGGAGATAATGTACTGGTTTACTGGAGACCAGGCTCGGGATGTACTGGAGTGTACTGGTACACTCAGGATCCCAATTCGACGCCGATTCGAAATGGTACACTATCTCCGCGTTTTTTTCGAATTACCCCCTCCGCGCGTGTTTTGAACAGGATGGCGAACTTCGACAATGCCGAAGTTACCCAGCAGCTCTTCGCGCGCATCGCAGCCCTACAGGAGGAGATGCGAGCCGACCGCGAAGCTTGGCGGAACGAGTTCGAGCGAGTAACTCGACTCGCCGACGCGCAACACGAAACGACAACGGCGACGAAGCAGCAGTTTCTCGAGGCTCCGAAACCGCGCCCACCTGAGCCGTTTGATCCGAGCGATCGAAATTCGGACGTCCGCAGATGGATCGCCGGCATGGAGATCTACTTCGCAGCCGTCGGATGGAGCTCGCCAGTCTGGGACGGTCAACGCGTACGACTCCCGGCGACACTGATGCGAGGGCCAACACTCGAGTGGATCGGCGGTAACAGAACCTTCATACACGGCCAAGCCACATGGCAGCAGTTCCGCACCGACCTGCTGAAACGTTTCGAGCCGATAAATTCGGGTTTCCTTGCCCGGGAAAAAAATCATCGCCATCGACAATTCGGGAGTGTAGCGCAGTACATGCAGCAGATGGAGGAATTTTATAACCGCATTCCCGACCTGACCGAAGGGGAAAAAGTACAATCGTACCTCGCCAGGCTGAAGACCGAAGTCAAACGACAAGTGGCAGCGACAAACTACGCAAGCTACAGTAACGTCGTATCTGTCGCAGAGCGCTTCGATATGGTCAATGCCGGGACACGACGAACGCACGTCGACAGTACGCAACAGGGCAACCGCTCGGCTCACCCCACGTTCGCGGACTCGATGGAAGTCGACAGGTTTGAAGGGCGGCCACGTCCGAAAAACACCAACTACACGTGTGATTTCTACGGGGTGCCGGGTCATCGAATCTTCGACTGCAACAAAATGAAAGCCGCACGCGCTGAGTATCGGGCACGCAACAGTGGCGGAAATCCTTCGGCCAATCGGAAGCAAAAAAACGGGACTCGCCAGTGATTGCAGATCTAGCTGGCGAAAAAGAAAAGATATGAAAGCGGCCGCGGACTTCCGGAAAAATCAACTCTGACGCAACTGATTCGACGCGAACAGGAGAAAATGATGGGGAAAAATCTCCACCCCACGACCAGTCTTTGCCAGAGGAAATCGCCGAGGAAAATTCTAACTCTGCGAAGAAGGACTCTACCAAGACGGGGAAACTCCTTGAAGACCCAAGAAATTATAAGGATTTGTTAAAGTTATCTTACAAAGATGCTTTAATGAAAACGTGTAATTCTCGAGGGGCTAGAGCCTTGGAGAAATTTCGGGAGGGACTCCAGAAGAAGCATAAAATTGTGGAGATCGTACCGGTACCGGAGAACTTGGTGACCAAATTAAGGAGTGTGGAAAGAAGCCGACCTTTCCACGGAGTCAACGTCCTCTCCCGACACCAGCCCACAGCGACTACCCGTTCCCCAAGGAAGACGTCGGTGGAGCTGAAGCAGCTCAAAGGGAAGCTGGGGGTCTACAAGAAGCTGCAAAAAACCCGAACTCCTTCTTCGGATGCATCCAACTCGGCAACTTTGTCAACGATACGAACAGTCGTCACGGAAACTCTGGGCCCTGGAGAAGAACCTTTCTCCAAGCAGCCTCGGCCAGCTGCCAGCTAAGGAGTAGGAAACAACGAATATTGGAATGTACCGTATGACCCAATCAATGAAACTATCGTTGGGTACTCCGAGCAACGCCTGCCCCTCGTGCTCGAGGTCATCTGCAAAGGACAACGCCTCCAAGCCCTCGTGGACAGCGGAGCATCACACACTGTAGGCGACAACGCAACCATCGACCAACTTCGAGAAGAGTACAAGCCATCAGCGTTTTCTGCAACGATGGTGGTCGGCAGCAAGTTACCAGTGTACGGCGAAGCAGTGCTACACCTACAAATCGGTCCACTGTGCTGGAAACCTGCTCTCCCCATCACCAACATAAAAGGGCTTGACCTGATCTTCTGGCGAGACTCAAGAAATTCAACCTCGAGATCAACTCGCACCGCAAGCATCTACAAGAAAGGAAGGAGAGTCCGGCTACCCAACTGGGACGATACAGGAGATATCCCAGTGGAGACACTCGCCAGATTCGAGAAGGACGTGAAACGAACCGACACCGGGTTCCTGGCGATAGCAACAGAAGTGGAGAATGATGGAGAGAAAGCTTCGGAACCTCTTGAAAAAATCAAGGACTTACTTAAGGAGTTCCAAGACATTCTTCCCTACGACCTCCCGGACGAACTACCGCCATACTGAACGCACCAACACGAGATCGTGGAGGAACCAGGTTCAAAGCCGACCTTCTGAGCACCATTTTGGCTAAGCCCCACAGAACTAGCCGACATGAAGAAGCAGATCGAGTATCTCTACGCCAAAGGACTCATCCGACCATCCACTTCGCCATACGGTGCCCCAGTACTCTTCACACCGAAACCGGACAGAAGCCTGTGCATGTGCATCAACTACCGAGCTCTCAACAATCAGACCATTAAGAACAAGTACCCGATTCCACAAATCGATGACATGCTTGACCAGCTTCGGGGAGCCACGGTATTTTCAAAACTAGATCTGCGGTCCGAATACTATCAGATAAGAATGGCAGATGATTCCATTCACAAAACTGCTTTCAGAACTCGGTACGGATCGTACAAGTATCTGGTAATGCCGTTTGGACTCACCAACGCACCTGCAACATTCCAAGCAGAGGTGAATCATATCCTACGCCCACTCTTGTTCGAATGCGTGGTGGTGTACCTGGACGACATTCTCGTCTACTTGCACGACATGCAACAACACGTCGAGCACCTACGACGCGTCTTAGAAATTCTTTAACGAGAACGCTTCTACGTCAAACTATCGAAGAGCGACTTCGCCCTCGAGAAAGTCCAATTCCTCGGACATATCGTAAGCGCTCAAGGAGTTCACGTCGACCCCAAGAAAATCGAAGCTGTGCGAACGTGAAGGAGTTACAGCAGTTCCTTGGGTTTGCTAACTACTACAACAGGTTCGTGCCACAATACGCGAAGATCGCCACGCCACTCACGAATCTGCTAAAGAAGAACACGCCCTATAAATGGGAGCCACAACACCAGGAAGCCGTGGAGCAGCTGAAACAAGCACTCACCTCCGCACCCGTACTCATCTTGCCAGACCCCGAACGCGACTACGTCATCGAAGCTGACACTAACGAACAGGCAGTGGGAGCAGTCTTGATGCAAGACCAGGGGAATGGCCTGCAACCAATTGCCTACCTCAGCAAAAAATTTCATGGCGCAGAACTCAACTACCCGATACACGACAAGGAGGCCCTTGCTATCATCATCGCCTTCAAAACGTGGAGATGTTATCTCGAAGGACGCAAGACGACAGTCTACACCGACCATTGCAGCCTAAAATAATTGAAGGCGCAACCAAGTCTCTCCAGGCGGCAGGTCCGGTGGATTGACTTCCTCGAGACACACTTCCACTACGACATCGTGTACAAGCCCGGCCACAAAAACAAAGCAGACGCGCTTAGCCGGCCTGCACACGTTGCCGCTATCCAAGTTGAAGGGATGAATCCACTCCTCAACAGACTCTTCTCACACGGGTACGCCATCGACCCTGAAATTCCCTTGGCAGAAAGGCGACATCTGCTACAGTGGGACAACGACATCGCGTACCGGAAAGGGTCAACGAAGATCTGGATACCTAATTACCCTCCGTTGCCCAAGTTACTATTTGAAGAATACCACGACGTCCTGTAAGCATGACACTTCGGTAGCAACAAGACGCTCACTGGTATCGCCAAACACTACTACTGGCCCCACATGGCAGATGACGTACAGAAATTCATCACCTCGTGCACTACATGTCAGAGGATGAAGAGCAGCAAGCAAAAAAAGGCGGGTCTGCTACATCCTCTTCCTGTCCCAGAACAGCCATGGCAAGTGGTAAGCCTAGACTTCATCACCGGGCTACTAACTACCACAAGCGGTCATGACGCAATCCTCGTCGTCATTGACAAGTTCTCCAAAATGGGACACTTCATCCCGACACACACCACAGCACGCACCGAGGAGACAGCACGACTCTTTGTTCGCTACATCATTTCACAACATGGTATTTCGACCACACTCATCTCCGACCGAGACCCTAAGTTCACCAGTATATTCTGGAAAGAACTGATGTCTCTGCTCGGGACCAAACTCGCCATGTCATCCGCCTACCATCCGCAGACAGATGGACAGACCGAGCGCCTCAACCAAATTGTGGAGCAACTCCTCCGTGCAGCCTGCAAGAACGACATCTCCAAATGGGACTTGCATCTGCCCATCCTGGAGTTTGCCTACAACAATGCTACTCACGCCGCTACTGGACAGACGCCGTTCTTCCTCTGTTACGGACGCCACTCACTCACACCTCAACAGCCAACCATCCCAGCCACAGTCCAACCCGCTCATGATTTCATCACGACCATGCACAAACTTTGGGATCGGACCCACAAATGCCTTCTCGACATTCAGTAACAACAGAAGTGCCAAGCCGATCGCCACCGCACAGACCACACCATCACTGTGGGAGACCGAGTACTACTCGACACACGCAATCTTGACATCAGCCATCTCCCATCCAAACTGCGACCTCGCTTCTGCAGGCCTTTTCTCGTTGAAGTACAGGTCACTCCTGTTACCTTCCACTTACGCCTGCCAGCTACCTAAAAAATTCACAACGCCTTCCATGTCCAACTCTTGAAGCCCTACCGAGATCACAATACAGTCTTCTCTGGACGCCAACCGTTGCCCCCGCCGCCCGTCCTCGTCCATGATGAACCCGAGTACGAGGTCGAATCCGTGCTTGCTCACCGCCGTCGACGGAATGACACTGTGGAGCTTCTCATCCGTTGGAAGGGTTGTGATCCTTCAGAGGATAGCTGGGTCTCTAAATCCAATATGGATCACGCTCGTCGTCCTCTTCGCGACTACCTTGTCAAGCAGGGTGTTACGTCTACCACCCAGCTTTGAGGGGGGGCAAGTGTGAGAGTACGACCCCGTTCCATTCCTTTCTCCTTTCCATCTTCTCTTTCCATTTCATTCCTCTTTTTATCTTGATTCATTTGGTTTTTATCTCATTCCATTTAGATTCCTATTTCTTCTTTTCCATAAACCTTTGGTTTAACCTGTTATTATCATTATATCACCGACCAGGCTCGGGATGTACTGGTACGCTATCTCTAGCGTAATCTTGCCGTAATCCCTTAAAGCCAATAGCCTTGGGTGGCTATACGCAGGGTGATTCTATTTTCTAGAAGGGTCTATTCCCTTGGGATAAGATAAAACTGGTTACCTGATGTACTTTGGAAGTATACAAGTGCCTTGTATCAATCGATAGTGCAACCTTTTCTCGACACATTCGATCCTGTGACAACTCCCTTCATTCATATAGGTAACATGTTTTGGCACGCTTGGTGATTCCACAAAGATCGGCGCATTCACAGCTTCTTGCTGGTACTGTGTGAGAGTACGACCCCGTTACACCACTTGTCCCTTTCCTTATTTCCTTCCTCTTTCATTTCTCTTTTTATCTCATCTCATTTGGTTTCCTATTCTCCATTTTCCATTATCCTTTGGTTTATCCTGTTATTATAATTATATCACCGACCAGGCTCGGGATGTACTGGCGCGCTATATCTAGCGTAATCCTGCCGTAATCCCTTAAAGCCAATAGCTTCGCGTGGCTATACGCAGGGTGATTCTATCTTCTAGAAGGGTCTATTCCCTTAGGATAGGATAAACCTGGTTACCTGATGTACTCTGGAAGTATAAAAGCGCCTCGTACTGATCGATAGTAGAACCTTTCCTCGAGACATTCGATCCTGTGACACTTGGTATCAGAGCTTTTCTCACTCGACCGCGCTCAGCTAAGCAGCAGCAGCGGGGGATCCTGCCTCGAAAAACCGCCGGGGGCGACCGATTCGACGCCGATTCTGGTAAGCACCAGCTCCGCGATTTTCGAATTACCCTCTCTGTGCGTGTTTTGAACAGGATGGCAACCTTCGACAACACCGAGGTTACCCAGCAGCTCTTCGCGCGCATCGCAGCCCTTTAGGAGGAAATGCGAGCGGATCGCGAAGCGTGGCGAAACCAGTTCGAGCGAGTAACTCGACTCGCCGGAGCGCAGCATGAGACGACAACGGCGACGACGCAGCAGTCGCAGCAGTTTCTCGAGGCTCCGAAACCGACCCACCTGAGTCGTTCGATCCGAGCGATCGAAACTCCGACGCCCGCAGATGGATCACCGGGATGGAGATCTACTTCGCAGCCGTCGGATGGAGCTCGCCAGTCTGGGACGGACAACGTGTACGACTCGCGGCGACACTGATGCGAGGGCCGGCACTCGAGTGGATTGGCGGCAACAGTACCTTCATCCACGGTGAAGCCACGTGGCAGCAGTTCCGCACCGACCTGCTGAAACGCTTCGAGCCGATAAATTCCAGTTTCCTTGCCCGGGAAAAAATTCATCGACACCGACAGTTCGGGAGTATAGCGCAGTACACGCAGCAGATGGAGGAATTTTATAACCGCATTCCCGACCTGACCGAAGGGGAAAAAGTACAATCGTACCTCGCCGGGTTGAAGACCGAAGTCAAACGACAAGTCGCAGCGTCAAACTACGCGAGCTACAGTGACGTCGTTTCGGCAGCGGAGCGCTTCGACATGGTCAACGCCGGAACACGACGGACGCACGTCGGCAGTACGCGACAGGGCGACCGCTCGGCTCACCCCACGTTCGCCGACCCGATGGAAGTCGACAGATTTGAGGGGCGGCCACGTCCGAAAAACACCAACTACACGTGTGATTTTTGCGGGGTGCCGGGTCATCGAATCTTCGACTGCAGCAAAATGAAAGCCGCACGCGCAGAGCATCGGGCACGCAACAGTGGCGAAATTCCTTCGGCCAATCAGAAGCCAAAAAATGGGAGTCGCCAGTAATTGCGGATCTAGCTGGCGAAAATAAAAAGATCCGGAAGCGGCCGCGGGATTCCAGGAAAATCAACTTCTACAAAGCTGATTCGACGCGAGAAGGAGGAAATGATGGGGGAAAATCTCCACCCCACGACCAGTCCTCGCCAGGGAATATCGCCGAGGAAAAATACGACTCCGCGAAAAAATACTCTGCCGAGACACGGAAACTCCTTGAAGACCCAAGAAATTATAAGAATTCGTTAAAGTTATCTTATAAAGATGCTTTAATGAAAACTTATGATGTTCGAGGGGCTAGAGCCTTGGAGAAATTACGGGAGGGACTCCAAAAGAAGCAGACAGCTGTGGAGATTATACCAGTACAGGAAAACTTGGGGACCAAATTAAGGAGTGTGGAAAGAAGCCGACCTTTCCACGGAGTCAACGTCCTCTCCCGACACCAGCCCACAACGACTACCCGTTCCCCAGGAAAGACGTCGGTGGAGCTGAAGCAGCTCAAGAGGAAGCTGGGGGTCTACAAGAAGTTGCACAAACTCCGAACTCCTCCTACGGATGCATCCAGTTCTTCGGCATCAGTAACGCGCACAGTCGTCAAGGAAACTCCGGGCCCTGGAGAAGAGCCGTTCTCCAAGCAGCCTCGGCCAGCTGCCAGCCCAGGAGTAGAGAGCAACACGAAGGTGTGTACGGAATATTGGGATGTACCCTATGACCCAGTCAATGAAACTATCTTTGGGTACTCCGAGCAACGACTGCCCCTCGTGCTCGAGGTCATCTGCAAAGGACGACGCCTCCAAGCACTCGTGGACAGCGGAGCGTCACACACCGTCTGCAACAAGGCAGTAATCGACCGACTTTGGGAAGAGTACAAGCCATCAGGATTCTCTGCAACGATGGTGGACGGCAGCAAGTTACCAGTATACGGCAAAGCAGTGCTACACCTACAAATCGGACCACTGCGCTGGAGACCTGCACTCCCCATCACCAACATTAAAGGGCTTGACCTGATCTTCGGGCGAGACTTCCTGAAAAGATTCAACCCCGAGATCAACTGGGTGAACCGCACCGCAAGCATCTACAACAATGGACGGAGAGTACAGCTACCCAACTGGGACGATACTGGAGATATCCCAGTGGAGACACTCGCACGATTCGAGAAGGACGTGAAGCGGACCGACACCGGGTTCCTAGCAATAGCAACAGAGGTGGAGAATGACGGAGAGAAAGCCTCGGAACCTCCAGAAAAAATCAAGGAATTACTGAAGGAGTTCCAAGACATTCTTCCTGACGATCTTCCGAACGAGCTACCGCCATACCGAACGCATCAACACGAGATCGTGGAGGAACCGGGTTCGAAGCCGACCTTCCGAGCACCATACCGGCTCAGCCCCACGGAGCTGACTGACATGAAAAAATAGATCGAGTATCTCCTAGCCAAAGGACTCATCGGGCCATCCACTTCGCCATACGATGCCCCAGTACTCTTCACACCGGAACCGGACGGAAGCCTGCGCATGTGCATCGACTACCGAGCTCTTAATAAGCAGACCATCAAAAGCGCCAGGCCGATCGCCATCGCAATGACCACACCATCACGGTGGGAGACCAGGTGCTTCTTGACACCCGCAACCTTGACATCAGCCACCTCCCATCTAAACTTCGACCTCGCTTCTGCGGGCCTTTTCTCGTTGAAGCACAGGTCACTCCTGTTACCTTCCGCTTACGCCTGCCAGCTACCTGGAAGATTCACAACGCCTTCCATGTCCAGCTTCTGAAGCCCTACCAGGATCCAAACACGATCTTCGTCGGACGCCAACCGCCGCCCGTCCTCGACCAGAATGAACCCGAGTACGAGGTCGAGTCAGTGCTAGCACACCGCCGACGTCGGAATGGCATCGTGGAGCTTCTCATCCGTTGGAAGGGATATGATCCTTCTGAGGACAGCTGGGTCCCTGCGTCCGACATGGGTAACGCCCGTCATCCTCTGCATGACTACCTTGTCAAGCAGGGTGTTACTTCTACCACCCAGCTTTGAGGGGGGGAAGTGTGAGAGTACGACCCCGTTACACCACTTGGCCCTTTTCTTATTTCCTTCCTCGTTCATTTCTCTTTTTATCTCATCTCATTTGGTTTCCTATTTTCCATTTTCCATTATCCTTTGGTTTATCCTGTTATTATAATTATATCACCGACCATGCTCGGGATGTACTGGCGCGCTATATCTAGCGTAATCCTGTCGTAATCCCTTAAAGCCAATAGCTTCGCGTGGCTATACGCAGGGTGATTCTATCTTCTAGAAGGGTCTATTCCCTTAGGATAGGATAAACCTGGTTACCTGATGTACTCTGGAAGTATAAAAGCGCCTTGTACTGATCGATAGTAGAACCTTTGCTCGAGACATTCGATCCTGTGACATACTGCTGGTAACATGCTCTTGCAGGTACTGCTGACGTAACAGCTTCTTGGTGAGCAAGTCAGCTGCGATGTCACCAGTGGGGCAGTTAGTGACAATCAAGCCCTTTACAATTTTGTTATTGACTGAGAAGTACCACATGGCGATGTGCTTCATGACATTTACGAACCCTGACTTTTTTTGTGATTTTGGTGGCACTCTTGCTGGCGCAATGTACAGTGACGGAATTAATTGGGTTAGAAAAGGTACACTAGTCAGAAGATTTTGTATTTTCAGCATGTATCGTGTACATTTACCCCCAATTACCCATTGTACCATTTGAACTAGGAGTGAAGCATCCTTATGCTGTATGTTACTGTACGTTTTATCGAACTGCTTATAGTGAGTCCACCACTTTGCTAGCGAGACTCGATGCGGACAATTAGCTCCCGATTCTAGTCTAGGTCTATTTTCTCTCGGCATTTCGCGAGCTCGCAAACCTAGCCTCCTAGTCTTTATCGACGGCATACCGTGAACCCTGCCAGGCTCATAGCAACGATGCGGCCTCTTGCTTCACGCCAGAAAGATAGGATCGCGACCTTGCTTCGACGCGGTCATAGCTTCCGTCAGATCGCTAGAATGCTAGGGATAGGGAAGAGCACAATTCAGAAATACGCTCAAGAGGCCTCTCAGCGCACCAGCAGCCTAGCGGTTAGGCCAACAGTCCCGAGGTCTGGCCGGCCACGCCTACTCTCAGTACGTGACAAGCGCATCCTTGTTCGCGCTGTGACTTCAGGCGAGGTGAAGACTAGCGTAGAAGCCGCAAAGCTACTGGAAACAGACCACGGCATTAAGATCTGCCCCAGAGCAGTCCGCAACGCCCTCAAACTGTCTGGCCTAGTCGCCGTCCAGCAACCGAAGAAGCCACGTCTCTCCGCTCGTAACATCAGAGACAGACAAGATTTCGCCAAGGCCCACGTTGACTGGACCGTGGACGACTGGAAGCGGGTGGTCTGGTCTGATGAGACCAAGATCAACCGTTTCTGTAGTGACGGCCGGTCGTATGCATGGATTCGCGACGGGGTGGCTCTTCAAGGGCAACACATAAAACAAACAGTAAAGCATGGGGGTGGGTCAGTCATGATATGGGGGTGTATAACGTATGATGGCCCTGGATACATGTGTAAAGTTGACGGTCGTATGGACGGGCAGCTGTATCGAAGCATCTTGCAGGATGAGCTTGCACAAACCATTGACTTTTATGACCTTAATACCTCTGATGTCATTTTCCAGCATGACAATGACCCCAAGCACAAGTCCCGCCTTGTGCAAGAGTGGTTGTCCGAGCAGGAATATTCAGTCCTGCTGTGGCCCTCTTCATCCCCAGATCTCAACCCCATCGAGCACTTGTGGGCCCATCTCAAACGCGAGCTGTCCAAGTATGAGCACCCCCCCTCAGGAATGCTCCAGACTTGGGAGCGGATTCAAGACATCTGGGAGGGGATAGATGCTGATGTGTGCAGGGGGCTCATTGATAGTATGCCTAGGAGGGTGAAGGCGGTGGTCAGGGCTAAGGGAAAATGGACTAGGTACTGATTTCAAGTGTGTCTTTTGCATAGTTTGAACATGGCACAAACTGTCCGAGTGTACTTGTGTGTGTATGGATTTTGCCCAGGAACGTTATACTGTATTTTCAGGGCTAGTTCCCACGTGACAGCCTTGTATAGGCATATGTCTAACTCTTCCTTAAAACCAGGCAATTAATAAGCTGCATATCTAAACACTACAAACGATTATTCGCCTACACAGGCTGAGATATGGACAATTTCTTCCGTCGCTGTAAATTGAAGGTTTGCGACGTGATGAGTTTTGATTCCTACATGAGTTCATGTGGACAGAGGCCTTCGCAAACTGTTGTGATAGCGACGGTTTACTCTGTTTCAGCTAAGGAGAGGGCGACCAGTTCCCGCTTCTAAGAGTTTCAGGAGATAGGGCTAGAGGGTTCGAGGCGGAAGAGGAATCCTATGCGGGAGCATCGACTAGCGGGATTGGCGGTGTGGTCTGTGTCGGATAGGTCCACCTGGAGGTGAGTGTGTATTACGCACTCTTGAGGCCCACCTCCATGAGTACCAGGTAATTGCTCCAAACATTGTCCAAATTTTTGTAGGAATTTATGCCGGGATCTACTGGGGGGAAGGGCTGATGTGTGAGTGCGGCTTGAGGGCAGACGGTGCACTCGTGTGGCTCGTTGCTTGGCTCGAGTTCCTCACCATCGGAGCCAAGAAGAGCGCCGGGAGCCAAGTCGCCATCCCTCAGTGAATTATTGAGGGAAGTGAGGGAAGGATGACTTAGGCAATGGTGCCAGATGTGACTGGGTGCTCGTTTTTCGAGAGAGCTCCAGTAGCGAGTTGTGGGTTCTTCTACTAGGTATTCATTGATAGCACGGGCGAGGAATTCTTGGTCTAGGATGTGTGTGGCGGCATTGGTGGGCGTAAGCAGACTCGTCCGTCTCTTCTGTGGGTGTTGACGTTTGAGGGAGATGAGATCGAGGTAGCCCGAAGTTGATGGGTAGATCTTTTTACTCCTTTTCTGGTACAATGGATGTTACTTCCAGTGGGGAGGGGCTTTCATATGCTATAGCGGATTGATGAATGCGCTAGTTGTCTTAGTGGGGATCGTTAGGAATGTGTTCATACTCAGCCCAGGTGTCTCGGCATTGGGAGGACGACCAAGAGGAATTGTTGAGGTTCCCCCGCTGATCCTCTTCGTCGTCCCCACCCCTGTGCCACTGACACGGGCTGAGCATGAACCAACCGGTTCTAGGATTTCTAACCCACTCGGGAGGTTGAGTGGGTTGAGAAGTTTGGCCCCAACCACCAGCTCTCTTAGCATATGCGGTGGCTCCTTCAGCAATAACGCCACCCCATGTTCCTTCGCCGACTGCGGGTAATTCCCAACCTCCCGAGTATTGGTGGCATGCTGATCTCAACCATTGGCTCTGGGGGTGCTGCTCCCTCTGGCTCTGCTCCTTCTCCTTTTGCTGCTGTTGCATCTCCTTCTGCTGCTCGTAACGACCCCATTACTCTTCTTTCTTATTTCTATATTTCTTATCTATCTCATTTCTATCACATTATTAGTTTTATCTCATCTCATTTAATTTCGTATTCTTCACTTTCCATTATCCTTTGGTTTATCCTATTACTATATTTTTATCACCGACTAGGCTCACGATGTACTAGGTAATGCTATCTAGCGTAATCCTGTCATAATCCTTTCAAGCCCGCGTCTCGTATTTCATAGAGTATTACGCTTGGTTGGATAACGTTGAGCTTGATTGGTGGGCGAGGTTCGAAAAGCAGGGGTGGTTTTGACGAGGGCAGCAAGGAACAAACAATTTTGGTACCAATCGAAGAAGCCAGCACTTGGGAAAGCTCTGAGTCTCGTATTTTTGGCTGGCGGTAATACGTTTGGTTTCGACGATCGACTTTCTGGGGGTGTGTAGTCTCGGGTTGGAGCGGGTTTAAGGTTGCAGTTTTGGTTTCGTATTATGCTCGAAGCAATATTCGCGAGGCACCCTCGCGGAATTTTCAAATCTGTCACCACCCCTCGTTTCAAAGAAATCAATTGGTTTTACAACCCTAAGGCCTCCGTCGTCAGGTTAGATTCGTTGGTTTGATACTGGAGGTCACCCTCCCCACTCCCCTCTCGCAAACACTTTTGGCCTCACTTGCTGGGAAATTCGGGTTACAAAGTACCAAGCGTATTACCTTTGATCCTAAATCTGAATTAGGAGACATGGGGTTTAAAGCCAATAAGGTCGCGTGGCTATACGCAGGGTGATTCAATTCTCTAGAATGGTCTATTCCTTTGGGTAGGATAAACTTGTTTACCTTATGCACTTGAGGGGTATAGAAGTGCCATGTATTGTTTTACAGTGCAACTTTCACTCGGCACTTTTTGATTCTGTAACACTTGGTAATCAAAGCTTTTTCTCACTCGGCCATTTTCAGCTAAGCAGTAGCAGCATACGAAACGCCTGCCTCAAAAACTGTCGGGGGCGGTGAATTTGATGCTTATCGTGGTACGCACTAGTTGCGCATTTTTTAAACATTATTAACCCTCTCGCATGGTTTTTTAACAGAATAACGATGCTGTTCGACAACGCCGAGGCTGCCCAATAGCTTTTTGCCTGCATCGCAACATGGCAAGCTGGATTCGAATTCAATTGTGTAACTCACAGCACAAAACGACAGTAATGTCGCAACAATCATAGCAGTTTCTCGAGGATCCGAAGCCGCAGCCATCTGAGCCGTTCGATCTGAGCGATCGATATTCTGATGTTTGTCGATGGATCGTTATCATGGAGATCTACTTTGCAATCGTCAGATGGCGCTCAGCGTTTT